GTTTTATTATGTAAAGAACTTGTGTCGCTAAAGTTTCATCGGAACGAAGTTACGGAAAGTTAATTAACAAACGGAGACGTAACAATATATCATTTTAAAACAAGTGGACCGTGTGCTGTTTGTTTACTGTTGAAATTCATCACCAAAAAGTCACAAACACCTACTGTAAAGAATCCAGCCCATACATACATAAAAACCTGACACTTTGAGGGTGTTTCCTGTCTAATAGTTTTAGTTTAGTTTAAAGGATAGGACAGCCTAGATGGACCAATAGGTTCCTTATTGTCCCTAAACATTATGTTATGTTAAAACAGGTGTTCTTCACTTATTTACAAAAGACAATGGACACTCACCAAATTCTCGGCACAAACAGGGTAATAAATAATTTTCAAATCAAAATTTCTCTGCAAGAGATCAATCAATTCACATTAAATTTGTATTGTTTGAAAGTCTCTAATACTAAGTTACTACTGAAAGATAATTTTTAGTGCTTTTTATAATTTGCTGGATATTGTGATAACCAAAAAACACCCACTATAATTTCTTTATGACTGAATCTTAGTTTTAGGGTTAAAGAGTATTGCAGAATTTGTAAATTTTTTTAGGGTCAGGTTGGTATTCAAATTTTTTTTCTGACTACGTAAGTTTGGAATGACCTTATACGACAAGCTTAGGTAAGATACTTTGTAATAGGAAATTATTAATCAAAATTTTCTACACAATAAGCATCAAAAATAAAAATTATTTTTATGTTAACCAGTTCTAACACAAATTGTGGATAGAGAGATGCATGATATCTTATTTTCTCATAAACAAATGAAAATATCTTGAAGTTTCTCTTTGTTTTTCACATAATGAAATGGATGGTTCATAATATATGTAACTTTACATTTTACATATTTTTGGGACTCCAAATAAATGTAATTAGTTTTTGTAATTTTTGCTTAAAATGGTATTCATTAAAATAACAGAGGCTTTGTAATTATCTAAGTGGGTTTTAATACAGATTGGTTTCTTTTACATTATATACATACATACATACAGTTAGACAAGAAAATTAGGTAGCAGAGGTAGGTTTTAAGTATATAGATATTTTATATTACACAATTAATAACTAGAAAGAGACTCCTAATATATTTTTATGCAATATTTATATATGTATATATATATATATATATATATATATACAGCTATTTACAAAAGAAATTTCTTTCAAGTATTAATTTTAAATAGAATAGTACGTTAGTGCACAATATCAGAAAAATACATCATTTATATACATAATTAAACAAACAAAAATGACTTGTTACTATTCTTATTAAATGAGTCTTGTAAAGATCGCTTCACAAACAGATATTCCATTTATTCATTCAAATTATTTAAAAACTTTCTGATCTTGTTATTAAAATCTTGAGATGATTTTTTTCTATTCAAGCTTATTAAATATATAACAGATGGCACTAAACTAATTTATCATGCAAAGGAAAAGATCCTCACATGGAACAATATTAATTTGGTAACCTGTTTACACCATAATGGAATCCTCTCATAATATTTAAACACAGAAGACAAAAATGTACACCAATTCAGAAGGCTCTACTCTTTGAATGCTTTAAAAACGTAGGCTTACCTTATTCTGATATGATCTAGATGTGTTGAATTATTATATGAAATTTACATTAGTTAAACATTTATTTTTATACAACTGTCAGGTACATTACAATTTTAATACTATATCCAGATTTGAGTTGCTATTAAGAGAACTAAGTTAACTTTTATGAAAAAAAATTATATTTGAAAGACAATCTAAATACCAAAAGTCACTGGACTTATAAAACAAAGTAAATGCTACAGTGGGCAAAAGTTTTCCTAACTTTATCTACAAATTCTCACAAGAAGCAGTTTTTGAGAAAACTTGTGCATTTGAACATGAAGAAAACAATTTGAATTTTCATTTTATTTTGAGCTTCTAACATTAAAAACTTATTTTAGAATCAAATATTTAAACTTTTATTTGTAGATACTCCATGTAAATGTTCAGACCTTTTTTTACAAAAACAATTAAAACATGCAAACAGTGTTATTGGTAAATAAAACACCCAAAATTTTACATGCATACAAACAAATTCAAATTCTGCTATTACAATAATTATTTATGTTTTAAGAATGATAAAACACAAATTAAACTCATGTCAAAACTTAGAAAATATACTAAGCATTTAACATGCATTCTGGTTAGGGTGCTTGACTCGCAATCTGAGGGTCATGAGTTCAAATCCCCATTGCCAAACATGCCCTTCCTATATGGTTGCCATCTTGGCTGGCTTCTGGGGTGTAACATTTCTTGGCTTACTAAATTACCAGCCAACCCCAAATTAGTTGGGATTAAGATTGTTACAAAGAAGAAGTTAATGGGCATTATACTTGTGACTTTATTTATTTTAATCAGCTTCTGTCTATTTTGTTTAGTTTTAGTTAATTTGGCCAGTTTTAAGTTCAACAGGACCTCGAATGAAATAAATTATAAATTTAACACTATATAACATAATGGCAGATAATCATGTAACTTTCTTAGAAGGCTTACTGTCAACCTTTTGTTTGGTTAAGTTTAAACATTAAAAATGGGGTAATTAGGTTATTTTAAATAAGTGCATATATTAAGTAGTAATCAAGAATAGGTACTAACATGAACATTTGTAAATGTCAAGAATTGTTTACAAAATTTAAAATAATACAGTACTTGACTACTGTCAAAAAAAAAATTTATAATTTAAGACAAGAACATTCAGTGACTGTCAAGCTTATATTGAATGGCTAGCATTTTCGCCAATGCAATTGACATAAATGTGCCTTATTTAGAACTTTTCAATCAGATTTAGATATCCTAAAAAAGACCACAGTAATGATTTGAAGTCTTCATTCATGGTTAGTACAAGTATTTTTAGTTGCATAAATGGAAGCATAGTGAAATCAAAGATTGAATTTCTTAAACTAAGTTGTGGTTGCAAAAGGGAGAGAAATAAAACCTCAATAAGGTGAATCTGTTACTTTCATGGGTGGAATAGTATTTTCAACTGTACAGCTAATTATGATAGGAGAACAAAGATGTTCTACACAATAGCATTTTGTTAAAGTTTTAATATCATTCTGAAGTTTCTATTTTTGTTAAAAATTTTGGTTCTGAAAGTTCATAAATAGCACTTGTCAGGACTAAGATAGTGAAGCACTAGTGACCAGTTTTCAACCAATATTTTAAGTATGGTGGTAGAAGTAGGTAGTATGTTTATTTTAAAGCTTGCTTGGAAAACTATCCAGTTAACACTACTACTTTCTAGTACCAGCTAAGTGCAAGAAAATCAGCAATTGCTGAGATTAGTTTTTGAACACTTCAGATGTTGCAGAAAACTACATGCATATGGAATAAGTTTACCCTGAAATACAAGACAGAAAACTACAAAACAAAGTACATTAAATCAGTAATCATTTCCATTTGTAACTTTATAAGATGGAATGTTTGGAGAACACCATTCCTAATTTTAATTACTTTTCAAATATATTAAATAAAACAGATATAAGAATCATACAACAGAAGTCTTCTTTGCAAAAACACATTCATGCTAAATTTCCATGTGCAAAAATTTAGAAATTGAGACTGTTTTCTAATGTAGTAACATCCTTACATGTAAATTATGAGTTGCTGAACATGAAATAATAGAGAAGCAATTTCAACCAATCAAACAAAAATTATTGAAAATCACAGCCATATTTTATAAACCATTAAAACTTGTTGATTTCAGTGTGATTGAGATGCACAACATTATAGCAAATTAAATGAACAAAAGTATAGTTAGAGAAGCCCAATAAAAACAACTTCATTTCACTACTGCTAATGAAGAACAAACTATTCAAATTAGAATTAAAAAAATTTTTTAGTTGCACACTGTCAGGGCAAAAAAAGATTAATAAAAACATTAATCTATTTTTTTTCAAGAAAAATGTTAACAATAAATCTAATTACCAGAACCTATTATTTTAATTACAAAACATATTTTCAAAAACGTAGTACAAACACAAAATCTTGCTTGAGTATGCTTCAAACAAACAAAAAAAAACGATTTATTTTATTCATAAAAAAGTATTTTTAACTTGACCTTTATCAGAAGTCTGCAAACCACAGTTATAGTGCTGTTGCAGTTGTAAATTAACTTTTCCAAATCTGCTACTCTTTTCATGAGTGATTAAGTATGTTGATTTAAAACCCTTTTCAGATTGGTTTTGAGATTGTGACAATAAGCAGTTTATAGTTATCTACAAAATGCTTGATGTAATCACACTAATACAAGTTGTGCAGTTATTAAACAAAAAGTTACTTCACAATGGTACACAGAATCTTTATAAAGATATGAACAAAACCATTGGAAACTAAATATAAACTTTTTAGCAAAGAATAGTTGTTTTTAGTATATAAAGCTTTGCACATGCTACGTAAGTTTGTGCTCATAATTTTTAATTCAGTTAAAAAGACATTGATTTTGATCAAACATTATGGAGAGCTTAATAAAATTTATATTTAATCAATGTTAAATTTATCAAATAAACAGCTATAATCTGATAAATTATGTCCTAAGAAGTTTATAAAACTAATTCTCAAAGTTTATTATTTTCATAAGAATTCTGATTTTTTAAGTTAAGTAGGCTGTTTGTGTTTTTGAAATCTATTATTAAAGATTTATCTTTTTTTCATACACAAGAAAAAATTAAAATAAAAAACCTTTCTTACACCTTTAGAAATTAAAAATCCTTTAATAATATCTTTCATACTACTGCAGGAAATTAATATATATACCACCTTATGTTTATGGAACTAGATAAAATTCAGAAAAAAGTTTTCAGTTTATTAAAACCTTTAACACAACATAATGTTTTGGGAAAACAAAGGACCTAATGGTCCATCTCGGTTGTCTCATCCTCTAAACTAAACTAAAAATATAAATAAATATATTTTTAAAAATTCTTGAAGCCAGCTCATATCATTCATATGCTTATGTCCTAAAGTAATTTTAAAAGTTCATGCAAAACAAAATACCTCCTAATGTGTGACTTCATTGAAAACAATGTTTTCCCAAAGCAATGTATAACCTTTCATTGATAAGCTTGCCAAATACCTTTGAAAATAACATGCCAAATCATTGTTTTCTAATCTAATTGGCCTTTCTAAGTACTATAACATAACTGAAATGCATTTAGGAACTCAATACAACTAACTTGCAGTTGATTTCGAGGTTTTGTAAGTTACTTGTGCCTAGTTGATGCTTGTAACTCTAATGAAACTGGGAATGTAGTCAACATTTGTGTCAGCATTGCTTCTGAGAGAGAGGCTTTGAATCTAATTGTACAACTAACTCTATAAGACCTATGTATTTTCGTCTGGCTCTTGCATGAAAACATATATACATATATTTCTCTCTGTCTTGTGCATACAGAATAAGAAACATTCATTAAGTTTTAAAAATTTAGAAATGATTATATGTTTAAGCAATAATTGCTATGCACATTTGCTTTAATGCACAGATAATGAAGGATAAAAATAAAAAATCCTGATAAAAAGGTGTAACAATATGACATTGCACAAGCTTTCACAAGTTAGGGGTTAATTTCCAAAAATATAATTTAACCAAATATTTTCATCACTATAATTTAAGGAGAGATGTTTACCATTTGAGAAACTCTTATCATTTTGCTAAAAAAATATTGTAACAATTGTAACTAATGCATAGTTGACCATATTAAACTTCTAGTTCAGATTGATATCTCAGAAAACAGCAACTAAAGCTACCCAAATCTTTCTTTTCTCTTAACCTGGAGTGTCATAATTAAATTAAAGATCAATTTTCAGTTCAAAATTTTATTTTTTCTCTCTCACAAAAAGCCAATGTCAAAACCTTTTTTCTTACATTAAAATTACCAGAATTTGTAAGCTTTTATCATAAGTCTTTCTGTAAAATAAAAAAAATACTATTTGTAGTATAGAAAATTACAAATAATGCTTAATTATCGCATACGCAATTTCTGGTTAGAGCAAAAGTTACAAGTTTATGAGTAAACTTGCAAATACTGTGAAATCACTGGAATCAACAATGAATATTAAATAGACAATGTACTCATTTCTGTTATACATTTCAGAAATAATTCTCTTTACATGTGACCAGGTTCAGGTTTAAGAGTATAAAATAGTTTCAATGGGTGTGAATACTTTGTACAAAGTAACAAATATAATAATCTTAGTTAGACTTGGTAAAAGTATTATTTTACATTTAAACAAATCAAGTTATAAACCTTAAAAAGCAAACAACCAGAAAAGTATTCTCAGTTATTTCTTTTACAACCAATTATTACATAATCCTTTACATTACTGACTACTTACTAATATGTTATATACTTGAATTTTTATGCCAAATTTCAGACACATATCAAATACATTTATACATTTACCACATACATAAAACAGGTAACCAGCTGTCTCCAAAATTTCCAGGTTGACACCCATCACAATTTACTTAATTATCATAATGGTTAAATACTTTGTTTCTTGACATTATTTTTACATGTATTTTTAAGTTACCAATGATGAGTAATCACACACAGCATTTTAATGTGTTCAATGGTTTTTTTCATTGATCTGGTAACAAACTTCAACGGAGTATTAGTCATAAACATGTACACATAAATCAGTTTGGTGACAAAACTACAACATGCTTATAAAAAACTCAATATACATACTCAAGCGTAAAACAAATTATTCTGAAAGTATTTACATAGCATGGTCTCAAGGCAAAATTCTTGTAAATATTAAAGAATGTGACCTATCCTCGTAACTCTGTCATGTATTGATGTTCTATCTGAATGTTGCATGTATTGTTGTTTTATATAGAAGTAAGTATTAATACATGATTTTAAAAAGGAAAACATTTGTGATTTTTTTCATAAATGAACAATGTCAAGAAGGGTTGGATGACATTGTGCTTTTGAAAACTGTATGATTGATTTAATACATTCTTTTCATCGGTAGTCATATATATTTTGCTTTTCTTAGTAAATCTCTAGTTGGAGGGTAACCTGATATTTAATTCCTAAAGCCAAAAATGTGTAATTCTGACAACTAAATTTATGACACATTATTTGTACATACACACACATACTATAATTACATTTGGTTTGCTTTTGCAATTAATATTATCATCAAGGTCCTTTTTTAACAAACTTTAGAGAGGACTGTATCAAAAATTTGTTACACATGTCCTTCTGGAGAACTTGGAGGGCTTGCTTCAACAGGTGAAAGACATGCAATGGTGCACGAGATGGCATTACTGTGTTGTGGCTTACTGTCCGTGGTTCTTCCTTTTTTATGTGTGGTTGTGACAGTGTTACGGCTAGCTAGAATGATGTGACACACCATACCTTTACAGCCTCGACAAACTCTCATAAGCTGCCCTCGAATTTTCTCTTCTGTTGGAGATTCTGGTTTTTGAGTAATTGTTCTTGAACGTGTAAGTGGTGCTCTTTTGACATTCACTCCTCTTCGTTTCCTCTCCGCATCAGCACAGAGAACATGAATTGATTCAGAATGGTGGAGTCTCCGCTGAGATCCTGCAGAAAAAGGCCTTGAAGTTGCCTGTTGAACATTTTTGTTTCTGGTGCTCAGGTTTGGAGATGCAGGAGCCGAACCACTTGTTAAGCTATAAAATAAACATATTACTTTGTTTCAATCTTTTTCTACATATAAAATAAGTAATAAACCTGGAAATATATAAACAGTGTCTTTAGTACTTCACTTTTTATCACAAACATTGATACTTTTATTCTGTTAAACTAAATGTATTTACAACCTTGCATAAAACATGTTTTTGTGTTCAACATCAGTGAAAAAAAATACATTTTGTTTTCAACACTGTGTTGTTGGTAAAACCACCTCTATTATACATATATATTTACAGGTTACCCTGCTTAAATTAAAGATGTGGATTACCATGTTTAAAATGAGCTGCTATTAAACCCCAGTCAAACTTAAAACAGAAGTTTTATTGAATAAAATTGTTACAATAAATGAAAGTAAATGCTTCATAATTCTTACAGCATGTTGACAGTTAACCTTCCTCGAATAACATCTATTCCATTTTGGTCAAGAAAAGAATACAAATTACCACAAGTACTCAGATTAAATTATACATTGATGGTATTTTGCTTTTCATACTTGTGAACTAGAAGTGGTGGTTTACACATCATAAATACAATTTCAAAATTGTTGTTCATCTTGGTATAAGTGTCACGCTCTCAAGAATTCCATTTCACATAGCCAGAAACTGCTATATCCAAACTGCACTCTCACATATTTGTTTTGTTTTTGAATTTTGCACAAAGCTACACGAGGACTATCTGCGCTAGCCGTCCCTAATTTAGCAGTGTAAGACTAGAGGGAAGGCAGCTAGTCATCACCACCCACCGCCAACTCTTGGGCTACTCTTTTACCAACGAATAGTGGGATTGACCGTCACATTATAACGCCCCCACGGCTGAAAGGGCGAGCATGTTTGGTGTGACACGGATTCGAACCCGCGACCCTCAGATTGCGAGTCGAGTGCCTTAACCATCTGGCCATGCCGGGCCACTCTCACATATCCAAATGAATTTATTTTGACAGAAAATATATTTCAGAAAATTTTAATTTTATATTCTTATAAAATTTACCAACTTCGAAAGGACTGAATCAAGTCATTAGTGTGAAAGACCGAATACAAAATTTGAAGCAACACATTAATTAAGTTGAAACTTATTGTAAAAAAAATATTTTGGAAAATATACGTTTGAGAATAAATAATATGCTTTTACAATAAAGTTCTTCAGTTACATCTATAAATTTGTAATAAATATTTGCCTTGTCAATATCAGTGTTATTGCTTTTTAAGTGTCTAATCTTATAGCCATAATCTTGAAAGAATAAAAGCAATATTAATGCCAATTGTTGTATAAAAGTAAAGAAGTTTCAAACAAAATAAAATCCTTGGAAAACATTAAAGTTAATCCATGAAGACAACAGGTTTTTAGAAACTGTACAAGATGGTTTTCATCATCAATTGGTCAAGGAACCTACTTGGAACAATGGTATTATAGACTTATTATTATTAAGTTCTAATACAGAAATGGTTGAGTGTGGAGATTAGGAAACATCTGAGTGCAAGTGATCATTGCTCAGTTAGTTTCAATCTTTTACTGCATATGGAAATCACAAATAATGAGATTTGGGTTACAAATTTTGACAAAGCAAATAATGAAGAGATGTAACAAGAATTATCTGTTGTGAAAAGGTCAACTGAATTAATTGGAAATACTGTTCAAATGTTTAAATATTCAAGGCAAAAATGTTTCTTATAATAAAGAAAGGGTGGTTATGAGTACAAGACCAGGTTAGTTCACAAAGGTTATTAAGGGGTAAAATTAAAGAAAAGCATTGTATATTCAAGAAATTTAAACTGACTTCTATGACAGGAGACTTAGAATATTATAGAAGATCAATAGATTTGGTTAACAATGATATTAGGAAACCAAAAAGGATATATGGAGAAAGGTTTGCTGAAAATGTAAAAATGAATAGTAGAAATTTCTTTAAATAAATTACTGGTAAGCAAAATGTTAAGATGGGAGTAAGGCCTCTGAAGGAGGATAATGGGAAGCTCATTTCTGTTCCTTATCAGATGGCTGATTTGTTAAATTTTGCTTTGTCTTCAATTTTTACTAATGAAGATTTAAGTGATATTCATCAGCCTGAACAATTTCTAAACAGAAGCAAGACGATTACATTAATTATGAGTTTGTTAAGAATAAATTGGAAAGTTTAAATAATGACAATTCTCCTAGGCAAAGTAATATTTCCTCAAGGGTTAGATAAGTGAGCCACAAGCTAGAATTGTTTACAAGTCTTTGAATAGTGGGCAGGTGCCAGAAGATTAGAAGTTAACTAATGCTAATCCTTTTTACAAAAGAGGTGATAAGAATTGTCCAGGTAATTATAGACCTATTAATCTTACGTTATTGGTAGGAAAAGTTTTTGAAAGTCAGATAAAAGATGTTTTGCAAAGTCATTTATCTGAATTTTCAAATTTTGTTGGACATCAACATGGTTTCACTTTGGGAAAATCTTGCCTTACTAATCTTTTGACCTTTCTTAAAGAAGTTATTGTTTATGTAGATGAGGGGAAGGATTTTTAGAAAGAATCTGAAAAGGTGCCATATAAAAGGCTTGTTAAAAAATTCATCTCCATAGGTGTTGGGGATAAGTTGGCTCATTGAAGAGAAGAAAGTAGAGGGTGGTTATAAATGGAATTCAGTCAAACTGGATTAATGTCATATGTGGAGTATCTTAGGGCTCAAGTGTTAGGAACTCTTATTTTCTTTGAGTTACATTGATGACATATTTAGATAAAGGAATGGTCAATATATTGCTTAAATTTGTTGATGATATTAAAGTCTTGGGTATTGCTTGCTATGAAGAGGAGGATGCTTAGAAAAGCATTATGATTATCTAATGAGTTGGGCAAATAAATGGCAGATGATTGTTAATTATAGTAAATGCAAGGTAATGTATATGGTTATATGGTTATCATAATAATTTTGATGGGAAATAATCTTAACAGTGTTATGGAAGAAAAGGAGCTCTGATGTTCTGGTAGGTCAAGTAGGTTTTCAAGATCTACCTAAAGAAGTATTGAATATAAGTTTAAATAGGTTATAATTTCATATTCATAGGTCACTTGTTAGGCCTCATTTGAAGATTGTGTTCAGTTTTGGGTTCCTTACTTTAGGAAGGATGTCGATTGTTGGAAAAAGATTTCAGAGGATGGCTGCTAGGATAATTTGTTTGTTTGTAGTTAAGCACAAAGCTACACAAAGGTTGTCGTACAAAGACAGGTCAATATCTCTGAAATGCTTTTCTCTTGAAAAAAAAGAAGAGTTAGAGGGGATCTGGTTGGTGATTAAGGTTGTTGAGGGAATTGAAAGCACCAATGCATCACCTGTTTTCATATCTAATGGTCAGAATGGTAAGACTAGGTGACACAAATATAATAATAATGACAAAAGTACATGATCTTGTGTATAGCAATTAGTGAAAAACCACAGTAAACGGAACAAACAGTGAGAAGTCTGACATTAGATAAACTACTTTCAACACATTTGTGCATCCTTTCAGTCTCTTTACTGTGGTTTTTCACTACACAAATATAAATTTTAGCAGAATAGGAATCATCTTCAGTTAAGACAGTTTTACATTGCTAACGTGGTGGTTAGGCTTTGGAATAGGTTGCCTTCAGGTGTGGTAGGTGCAGTAAATTTAAGGGAGTTTAAGGGAAGATGTAATAAGTATTTAAATTATAAAGACTGGATGTGAGTTGTTTTTGTTTTGAGTTTAATTTTGTGGATAGGACAGTAAAGATGGATCAACAGGTCCTTATATTTTAGGTTAAGTGACAAAATGTTTACTTAATAAAATTAAAGAATTATTCTGGATATAAAAATTCAGAATTTTTTCAAAGATGTGAACAAAAGGAAATTAAGTCTTAAAACATCTACAATTCACCTAGTGAAATTAAAAGCTTCTGGCAACTTCCAAAAAGATTTTCGTGATGATTCTTCTTCAGGTGGAGGACTTGGTGTCGGACTAAGCATGTACACAGGAATGTTAGCAAAGTGCTCAACTGGAATACGCATCTGTAAGAAAGATAAATGGGATATTGACAAACAATAATTAAACTGTTTATTAAAAAATATATTACTTTATTAGAAAAGGTTAATATGGGAAAGACTAAGAGTTTGATATAAATGGTTTAATACATAAAATAATAAAGATTACCCAACTTGCTTTCACAAAATACAGTAATTAATCAGAAAACACAGCAGTTCAACTTACAAGGCTTCATTTCTAAAATCAATAGTTTGTTGATTTTTCTAAGTCACCCTTCACGAAGTATAATAATTTAATTTTCCTAGCTAACCTTTATTACAAACAGTGATTTATTTTGCCAAACTCTCTTTCATTAGACACAATAAATTCATTTTCCCAATTTAACCTTCTTAGAAGCAACAGTTCATCTTATCAAACTTGCTTTCATGATCGATACATCCACTTTTCCAAGCTATCTTTCATTAGAAGTCATGATTTATCTCATCAAACTCACCTTCATTACACAAAGAATGTTTATTAAATGTTTTCACTTCAGAACTGGAAATCACATAGTACATGAAAACCGACCACTATAACTTGCAAAATGAATGTTCATGTGTAAAAACGGATAGAGATTTACAACACAGAATGGTATTCATATGAAAGAAAATAAATTTTATCCAGTAACTTTTATGATGGTATGAAGCACTAACTAATTCACAATTCTTCCAGTGGTACACATACCAAGTACCTTCCAATATACAAGGGATTTAGTATTTTGAACACATCACCCCCCCCCAAAAAAGCAGAAAAAGTAAGGGATGACTATTATGTAAGTATGCAGTACTTTTCTGATAAAACTATTCTGTTAAAATGAAATGCATTTAATTTTAAAGGTCACTATAACTACAGCACACAATTGTGCATAAAGAAAACTGTGTAATATCATCTTACATTTGGCAATTGTCTTTATCACTGTGTTATTCAAATGTTCATTAATGTTAAACAAAACATTCAATCCAATTACACATTGCAATACACAGAACTAAATTAACTTGTTATTACTCATTGTATTTGAAAATTATGATTTCAATAAATGAATCTTAACTTGTAAATATTATTCTAATATTAATCAAGCTATAATCAACACTAGTATCCATTAGACACATTTTGAATTTTTATGGTAGATGTAAGCTTTTAATATTCCACATTTTACATTGTTTAAAGAACTATACTGACTTTGGCAGTCAGTGATTAGTCAAAATCAAACTATCAATCTAATTTTTCAATAAGAAAAATCCAAACTTAAAATAACATGTTTACACATGTAAGTAAATTACCTCTAGAAACAATGCTATATTTATGAGGTCCTATCAAAACCAATACTTTCTTTATAACATGCATCCTTGTATATTGTATAAAATAATTAAAGCTAAGTAGTATGTGTAGAAAATAAATTAAAGAATTTTTTGCTGTAAATATGACCGTACTAAAATTCAAATACAGAACAATTTGATGTAAAATATCCTATACAAATCATCCTATTTTTATACAAGTTATTTTATTTCCTTGTTAATTATTTTACTGCTAGGATTTTGTATTTCTTACCTTACTTGAACATTTCTCACAAACAAGTCTCTCACACAATTTACACTTGACTCCCCAGGAACCAAAGAATGAGAACTTTGTCTTCTTACACGCAAAGCAAATCTGTTGAGAATCAAAACAATAAGAGAAAAAAAATAATAATATATATATATATTTAATAATAAAATAAAAATAAATAGAAAAAAAAAAAAGAACCCGGGTCATAAAAATAACTTTTAAATCATTTTTGTTAAAAACGAAAGATGAGTATTCTTTATTAAACCATCAAACTGCCTTTTGAAATACCTTATAATGATTAATATATTTAACTTTTTTTTAATTAATTTTTTATCATTATGCTTTTATTATGAACACTTTCTGGCATTGTCACCTTAATTTATGTATGTAGGCCTAACCTAAATCTCCTAAACTAGTAAAATCTCAAGATATCTTTGAGATTATGACTAAAAATATCTTTAACAGCAAGGGTATCCAACAAATGAAGTAATGCATTCTAATATTTATGTATACCAGGTTAAATTTTAATTTCAACCCAAATAGGTAGGTTGCTCTGATCAGAAGTTAATATTAATTAAACTACAAAAAACAGTACCCCTCTTTTTTATGTATTTACAATACATATCAGAATATATGTTACTTTTAGTTTTGTCCTTTATTATAAAATAGGCTCACTCTTATGATAGACATTTTATTTTTTTCTAATTTATCATATAGCAATATTTTATAGTATACACACCATTCCTCGTTCCTTTAGACACACAAAACAACGAATTATTATATTTTATACCTTTCACTTTTTTGTCCTCTTTCATCACAATAATAAGGACTGGTGAAACTTACCTTTCCTTTTTCTAAGTCATCATGTAGTTCTTTGTTAACCAACAAGGATTCTAACTCAGCTTTTGTTAGAACATTTCGAATGTGTACCACTTCTTCTAGTGTAAGAGACAGGCACTCAAGTGCCTTACCCCATTGAGACTGTGAAAAAACAACAAACATATTAACCTATCCATTCTAGACCATTCCAAAACAGATTAAAAATGTTGTAGTCAAAAAAGTCTTTAAATTTTTTATTTCTGTAAGAAATATTCAACTTAGTTTAACAGTGACAATTTATGGAATACTAGATCTTTACACAAGTTTTTATTTTATTCATGTGTCAGTAGTTAATGAAAAAACACCAACAAAATTACACATAAGCATGTATGTATATGTGGATATATATATATATATATAGACACACTAGCTGGAGTATCTGTCCATTACATGGGTGAAATAAAAACTCATTTGTAACATAGGAGAGGAAACTGTGCTTCTATTTTTTTCTTAACCTACTAAACATTAAAATAGCAATAAAAATACATAAGGGTATCAATACTAAGAGAAAAATGTACTGTTTTCAAGAATTCTATCAATATGAAATTACATGGGGGGTTAGTACTCGAGTACTATCATAGTAAGCAGTTTCACCCCATTTGCCCTAGCTCAAAATTTTGTTTATAGTTTAAAATGTAAATATAAACTTATATTTATAATATATAAAATTTATGAAATATTATAATGACATACAAGTTTTCTTGTCCAATGAGATTTTGTTTTGTGCTTAATTGATTGCAAAGCTACATGATGACTACTAGCCATGCCTAATTTTGAAGTGATAGACTAAAAAAAGATAGTTAGTCAACGACATCCACTGCCACCTGTAATCAGAATGAACAATGGACCTATTCAATGTGATTAATCATTATTTTGTCAAAAAAAAGAAGTTTACAAAAGCTTACACTGAAAGGTAAAAATTCATATTTCTCATTTAAGTATATATTAATTCAATCTTTGTAAATTACACAAAGTCTACCTGTTCTTTTTTTTAATGTTTTAATTATTAAATGGGATTATATATCAATGACCTTTAAGAAGTAGTCTTCAAAACGTTATTTAGAAACCATAATAGAAAAAGCTTACAGCTTTCCAGTACTCCGCAATGGCATTGACAGAATCTGAACACGCTTTGCCACTACCACTGTCATTTTGACCATTAGCCAGTGTGTTGCTCCTCTGAAGAGGAGATCGACCTTTCAATTGGTTTGGGAACTGATCAGTGGGAGACTCACACACTGAAATACTGTGTCTTCGTTCAGATATGAAGCTTGTGCTGTATTTTGCCAAATCTAGGGCCACTGCAGAAAATATTTTATAAAAATATCAGTAGCCATATACAATTACGAACTTACTTACAAATGAAGAATAAGCATGTTTATGTGGCTTAACGATATGGAAAAATATATATATACCATAAATATGCTTCAGAGTATAACCCAAACATGTTCATGTTCCCTCCTTCAATGATACAAGGAAAAAAAGAAACTCAAACTATACATCCCTGATATGAATAATAACTCATTATATAAATTCCTTCTGAATATTTACAATATCGTAAAAAATATTTAATATGGCAAATTCAGAACCCAAATAATGTTCTAATACCATGTTAGTTCAGTCAGTAGTGAATGCTTTGCTTTTATATATAAAGTTTTATGCACATTTTTCTCTTGTACACTCATATACATTACTAAATACTAATATACAAGGTTATCATGCTTATCATCACCAACGTCTTGTCTCATCAGAGGCAAGGGATAAAGATTTTTAGGTCTGGAGTTCCCAAATAAAATCCAGGCAGAATTAGAATTAGAACTTCTTAAAATCTAGCAACCAAAAGACCTATAAGCAGATAACTGAGAAGACCCCAACATCATTTACTGTCCACTAGTAACGCTGGTACAGTCACCCCTCTACATCAGTCTGAGTACAGGGGCTCAGGCACTCACAATAAGGCTCATCAGACTCTGGATTTAAATACTTGAACTTCATATTGATAAAGAATGATTATGCCATATTTATCTCAAATAACTGAATAGGTTTCAACAAATATTGAAAGTTCAACAACACAGATGACCAAAGCAGCCTGTAAAGCTTTTGCTAGATGTAAACGACAATCAGCACTCACTTCAGAACAGTCAAAAGTAAATGATAACACCTAGCTTTACTGGTAAGTTTACTGTGTTTGAATTTACTGATTATATATACATGTATAGTTGCCTAATCTATAGAAAATTTCTCCCAATGATTACATATTTGTTACTTTTAACCTGAACAGCATTAACTTAGATGACACACGAGCTAAATAGCCAGGCAGAAACTCTTAATTTCCATCATAATCATCTCTAATTTAGAAATACTGATGAGATAGAGGAAGAGCAGTCAACAGTACACAGTGCATATGTGACTACTCTTAAAAGAATAAGAGGATTGATAGTCATGGTTGTAACTTCCACAGTTGACTTCCAATATGCAGGCTCCACTTGGCCTACCAACAATTACAATAAACTCATGGAAAGTGTGTGTAACAGGAGTGAAGTTCTGCTGTTACTCAGTACCAGGACTTATTTGATCTACTTTTTGTCCAAGTTATTGTAATGTCAGAAAGCAGGCAAATCATGACTCTGAGAATCATTAAATATTCTTCAAAAGGACTAACAATTAACCTAACAACATTAGTTCTTGTTGACAACAAGATCATGAGGAAGACTAATAATTGACCTAACAACATTAGTTCTTGTTGACAACAAGATCATGAGGAGAACTAACAATCGACCTAACAACATTAGTTCTTCTTGATAACAAGATCATGAGAAGGACTAACAATTGACCTAATAACATTAGTTCTTGTTGCCAACAATATCATCAGGAAGACTAACAACTGACCTAACAACATTAGTTCTTGTTGATAACAAGATCATGAGAAGGACTAACAATTGACCTAACAACATTAGTTCTTGTTGCCAACATATCATCAGGTGGACTAACAATAGACCTAACAACATTAGTTCTTGTTGACAACAAGATCATGAGGAGGACTAACAATCGACCTAACAACATTAGTTCTTGTTGACAACAAGATCATGAGGAGGACTAACAATCGACCTAACAACATTAGTTCTTCTTGGCAACAAGATCAAGAGGAGAAGTTATTTAGCAGCTTTAATGTCAATCATTATTAAACCAATCTGACAGTCTTATCCGAGTGCTATTTGTATGATTGGCCAATAATGATAAATATCTCCAAATGATGCATTTTATTGGTTGATGTGCTGTGAGCAGTATTCACCCCTGATAATAGTGTGTATAATGTCTTTAATTTATAAGAGTTTTGTAAAAAACAATACCTACAACCTTGCTTCTTATAACAATAACACAGTGAGCACAATTATAGACTTTATTTACATTCCATAAAAAACTGCATAAAGTTTTTTCCATAATAATCATTGTTTTGATGGACTTAAAGTAATAAATATACATTATACAGGCAACTAAATTAAAAATATCATAATTGTAAATTTGTATATATATATATATTTTCTTGTTTCCTATTCTGTTGAATAACTTACACATATGAGTAAAATCCTTCTCTGTATGCACACATAATTACTGGCAATATTTTGTTGAATAGTAATAATATCTATGCACATATGCAGGGGGTTTCAACCAAACCACTATTTTTGTGATGTAAACAAAATTATGCTTATATAATTATAGTGCAGCTGCTTATGGTGTTTTACATTTTCTACATAGTATACATTCTTCTGATGCAGCATTAGCATTTTTTGGCTTGAAATAGTTGCATGCCCTCAGACCTCCACAGCATTAGTATGCTTTGCATGCTGATTGTGCTTCAAACAATATGTGTTGGTTTTTGATCTTACAAACTTACCCCCCCCCCCTTTCCAGAATTCTGCATATGGACCTGATATTCTGAAAAACTTTTGATTTAATATAAAAATAAATAATTGAAAAACAACACACAAGGGATCACTGGAGTAGAAAAAGGGTAACATTTGTTTACTACCTATAACAAGTTAAGCTGAAATATTAAGTCCCAATAAATTGGAAATTATCCTAATTGGCTTGTAGATGCTTAAAACTTACTTGTCTGCCATGGAGATCTTTGTTTTGGGGGTTGGGAAACATTTACTGGAAGTGACTGAGGCTGTTCTTCTGCTGGACTTGGAGGAAAATCTTCATCACCATCATCCTCCTTCAAAAATTGTGCAAAAAGATTCAGTATTCACCAATCTTCTTTTATTTAAAAGATATCATTAATCTTCTCTACAAGATTTTTTAAACATCTATAACAAACACACATACTCAATATACCCATAAAAACATCCTTAATATGACTAATATTTTTATATATTTACAGTAAAAAAGTAACAAGCAGATCGGTACACAGTAAACATATATCTTATGAAAACAAGTAGTCATTTTTAAGAAATTTTATGCAGGTTTAAAAATACTCATTAATAGTATTAAACAAAGATTATGTAAACATAATATAAACAGAAAGTACTACAGCAATACCACCCTTTATCATGTGAAAAGGAACTGCACCACAATATAGTTACATGTTGATAGTTTATATGGTGATTGGCTGTTATGCAACCCATCAGAAAATGCCACACCTCTATAAAGCCTATAAAGGTACAGGCAATCATACTAAGACCAGTAATAGTAGTGGGATCCTGTCATGGCTCCTACCTTGGGAACTATAGGATACACATTAGCATAAAATGGATTTGGCATATGTGTATCTACTCAAAAATCGCTGCTGAGAAGAGTTAACTAAACTAAAAGGTTGAATGGGTATTGGAACACAAACAGTGGAATTAGCAAAGCTAGAAACATGTACACTTTGACAGTGAGTCCAAGTTTAAATTGTTTGGCAACTAGAAATTGTATGCAAGACTCTGAAGAGGGTATGTGAAAGTGACATTGGTCAAGTAGAGATTTCACCAATGACATCGCTGTAAATACGGGTAAGAATGTCATCTTGGGAACTATAGGATACACATTAGCATAAAATGGATTTGGCATATGTGTATCTACTCAAAAATCGCTGCTGAGAAGAGTTAACTAAACTAAAAGGTTGAAATGGGTATTGGAACACAAACAGTGGAATTAGCAAAGCTAGAAACATGTACTCTTTAACAGTGAGTCCAAGTTTAAATTGTTTGGCAACAAACAATGACAATTAGTTTGATGGCATGGAAAAATGGTATCATAGTCAGTGTACAATATCTCCAGTGAAGCATGATGAGGGATTAGTATAGTTTATCTATATAAAATTGATGGCACACTGACTACTGACAAGTTCAGGTAAAGTCTGAACCATTATGCCATTCTCTTAGAACACAACCAATTGAGTGAAGAATCATCCTCCAGCAATACAATGATCCAAAGCATATAGCAAATATAGTGAAATGATATCTTGACAGTAAAGAAACTGACAGAATACTTACAGTCACCACTTGGCATGTACGTGCAGAGTCTTGATATTAACATCTTGAAGCTGTATGGGCTTACGTAAAATCTGAGAAGATTGAAATGTGACCAAACAACACAGTTGAATTGTGTTGAATAATGAAGACACATGGAACAATATTCCACAATCACAAATTGAGAGACTGTATGGCAGCATAAAAACAATATGTAATATAGTGCATTGTACAACTTGTTTGCTATTATTTTTCATTTTCTGTGATAATGTTTGTGCCATAAATAATTCACCATCTAGTTGCCATTACTCAAGCATCTGGGACTCCTGCATGTGTATTGTTCGTGCATTTCCATAATGATTTCTATTACTGTATGTATAAATAAAATGACATTTTATAAGCAATAAAGGCTGGTTTTCTCCATAGAATCAACAAGGATTATAGATAGCAAAGGTTGATGCCAATTCTACTCAGTAATTATTTAAAAAAGCACATCACATCTATGATTTTCATTTGTCTAACATTTCATTATCAGTAATTAGTCATAACGTGCTACGATTCCTTCATTTATAGGCTTCTCATTTCTAGCAGTTAAATTTCTACTTATAACAAAATGTTTTTTCATATTTTCTTTAATTATATATGGCAGCTAAGTAACTTGACATTTAATAAGGACCAAGCAAAATTTACATGAAACGAAAACACTAATATTCTGTGGCTGATGTTCTTCCAATTGATTTATTAAAGCTTCAAGTCACTGACAAGCATCCTTGCACTTAGTTCGTTATATAATACAACTGACAGGTGTCTCTTTTCAGGGGTAAGTTGTCAAAAACTAAAAATTAAGCTGGCTTGATTACAAAATGCAATATAACTTTTGTACAAAAATAATTAGCTTGTAAATGTATAAATGACAGAAGTCATAAAAGTTTCAGTTAACCAACAGTATTTGTCACAGATACAGTTTAGACTACTTTTTTTAGCACAAACTCAATAAAAGGCATATTTTACTAGAATGTTTAATTTTATGTAATATAGTGGGATAGGATGTTATTTATGGAGAAACAGCTTCCTTAATTTCTAAAAGAAGTGAACTTCAGAAAATTGTTCTGTCAAATTGCAGAACATCAAGTAAGCTCTTACAGTTTAATTGAAATAAAATATCAAGTTCATATATCCCAATAAGTTTGTGAGTTGCCTGTCATTTTCACAGGGATTTACTGCTCTTCGTATATATATATATATATATGATGAAAGCCATAGCCATCCCTCAAGTTATGACAGGATGCATAATGAATTATAAGCCATGTGACATTTCCATTTTACCTGCTATAAAAATAATTTTTAAAACCTTTAACTTTTTTGTATGAAATGTTTAGTAGTTTATATTATTTTGTTCAGATTACTCCTCAACCACTGAGTAAAACTGACTTTAACCAGAAATGACATAGTAAACAGTTGAGAAAAATCACAGAGAAACTTCTACAATTCAAACATTAATGAAGACAATGCTCTAAAAAATCTGAAGAAAATATTCCCATCTGTTTGTTGTGGAGTTAGTAAAAAAGTGATTCAAGAACAGATACTGTGTCTGATATAAAGGACTTGCCAAGTTAGTTTTCTCTTCTTAAAGCACAGGCTATAATTTAGTAACATTTCCTGTGACATATAAATAGATAGAGAAAATTTTATTTCGAATACTGTACTCAGTTGTGCTGTTTAATTATATAGCTAGAAATAAATATTATATCTCTGGATTACTTTCCTGCAAATTTCATGTAGCTCTTTCACTCATATTTATATACAATTTATAATAATTATTATAACAAGATTGTAAAGCATATCAATTCTTTTTTTTTTTTTTACCACTTCAACTTTCTTTTACATTGAAACAAAATTTGGGATGTTCAATAAAGTTTTTATACAATTATTTCATTTTACATTTAGAACCTTTGTATTATACTTCAAATCATTATCAGATTTGTTGGTGAATTTTATAACTCCTTGAATAAAGAAGATCTCCAAAAAAAATGCCAAAGTTTCTTATAAATACCAGTTCCCATACAAATACAGAATTTTGAGCTGTTGCCCCAAAATTATATAGACAGTCTTTTATGACACCATCATAAAGAGGGTTTTGTCACAGGAACTAACTGCTCCTGTTATATATATATATATATATATATATATATATACACACACACATACATGATGAAAGCCATGGCCTTCCCTAAAGTAATGATAGGATGCATAACAAATTATAAAATATTTGGCATTTCCAGTTTACCTGCTGTAAATTATAATATCCAAAATGAGGATACTGCCAGAACAAAATATACCCAGATGATAAAACATGTGATATTTCCAGTTTACCTGCTGTAAATCATAGTATCCAAAATGAGGATACTGCCAGAACAAAATATACCCAGATGATAAAACATGTGACATTTCCAGGTTACCTGCTGTAAATCATAGTATCCAAAATGAGGATACTGCCAGAACAAAATATACCCAGATGATAAAACATGTGATATTTCCAGTTTACCTGCTGTAAATCATAGTATCCAAAATGAGGATACTGCCAGAACAAAATATACCCAGATGATAAAACATGTGACATTTCCAGTTTATCTGCTGTAAATCATAGTATCCAAAATGAGGATACTGCCAGAACAAAATATACCCAGATGACACGCATCAGGACTTCAAGTGTGTGAAAAGTTGTTTAATAATTGATAATTCATTATTTTCTTTATTTGGTATTTCACCAGATGGCTCACACTCATGCAAGTGCCACATGGATGGAAGTTACAAAATTAAATTTTGCATAAACATAAAATAACAGACATAAAAAAAATTTTTATGATCCAAACCCATGCATGGTAAGCTTAAATTGAGTCAAACATATTACACAGAAGAGCAGTTCAACACGTATGTGTATGCCACACGATATATTGTAATTTTGATATTTATACAGATGAAGAGAAACATCACGACAGTTGTATATGACAGTGAATTTTGTATAGTATTAATATGTAAATGTGAACAATTCATAATATGATATCTTGTGTCAGAAATATTACACCATAAGTTTTAAAGCCAGCAAATATGGACACAATTTGGAAGAATGGTAAAGTGTTCCAGACATAATGTCAGTATAGTTTATTTCATTATGAATGTATCAACATCAGAAGATTACCACAAGAAGAATGGTTCTGTGGATGACACAACTTGGAAGAATGGTAAAGTGTTCCAGACATAATGTCACTATAGTTTATTTCATTATGAATGTATCAACATCAGAAGATTACCACAAGAAGAATGGTTATGTGGATGACACAACTTGGAAGAATGGTAAAGTGTTCCAGACATAATGTCAGTATAGCTTATTTCATTATGAATGTATCAACATCAGAAGATTACCACAAGAAGAATGGTTATGTGGATGACCCATCTTGGAAGAATTGTAAAGTGTTCCAGACATAATGTCAGTACAGTTTATTTCATTACGAATCTATCAACATCAGAAGATTACCACAAGAAGAATGGTTCTGTGGATTTACAAATGATGTATTTTCAATTACATCCTTGTAAAAAAGAGAACAATAAACATCCACAGCATTTAAGTTTGTTTATACCAGAAAAATAATTATAAGTAAAAAACCTTCAATGATTATAAGAACTATAGGAAAATAGATACGTCTACTGTACACATGTTGACAATGTAAATGTTTATTATGTTCATAAATATTGATACTACTTTCTTGTTATAAAATATATAAAAAACAATATCAAAATATCACAGTTTTGAAGAAAGGTTCTCTCTTTGTTATATGTCAAATAGCCTAAAGATGTATGTAACTTTATATTCAGTACAATTTATAATTTAAATTATATACGCAATATTTAACTGAAAACTGTAATAAATGAATAAATTATACCAGAATTATATACTTTTTATGGTTTGATGGTAGATCAGTTATTATTGCACAAATAGATTTAATACTGTCTGGATGTTTTAGCACAGTAATTGACAAAGTCAGTTTCAAAATGCACATGTTCAATTATGCGTTCAGTAGCTCTTTCCACGTAAATTCCCAGTCTTGACATCAGTCTTCTAACTTTGGCATCGCGCTGGCTTAATTGTAAATACTGGGATTGCCAGCGACGCACCATGTAACACGTTAGTCTTCGGCTCTAAGAAATCATCTAAATATAAGTATCAATATTCATGTCTATCAAAAACATTTACTGTTATGTTCCAGTTCTTTCTGAAAGACACGCCCTCTTCCAATAAATTAACAAGTTTAAAGCTGAGTCCGATGCGTAATCAATAATGTTTTACTTCCCAGATCTCATAACCATGCGTACAATAATGTTTTACTTCCCAGATCTCATAACCATGCGTACAATAATGTTTAACCTAGCAGGTCTCATAACTATATCTACAATAATGTTTAACCTAGCAGGTCTCATAACCATATCTAAAATAATGTTTAACCTAGCAGGTCTCATAACCATACCTACAATAATGTTTTACCTAGCAGGTCTCATAACCATATCTACAATAATGTTTAACCTAGCAGGTCTCATAACCATATCTACAATAATGTTTAGCCTTGCAGGTCTCATAACCATACGTACAATAATGTTTGACCTAGCAGGTCTCATAACCATGCATACAATAATGTTTTACTTACCAGGTCTCATAACCATACGTACAATAATGTTTAACCTAGCAGGTCTCATAACTATACGTACAATAATGTTTAACCTAGCAGGTCTCATAACCATATCTACAATAATGTTTTACCTAGCAGGTCTCATAACCATATCTACAATAATGTTTAACCTAGCAGGTCTCATAACCATATCTACAATAATGTTTTACCTAGCAGGTCTCATAACCATATCTACAATAATGTTTTACTTACCATGTCTCATAACCATACGTACAATAAAGTTTTACCTACCAGGTCTCATAACCACACAACCTGTGACGTTTTAAACGACTACGGGGACTTTTAATTATACAGAAGGTTGACATTTCACAAGTCATGAATAACACACTGATGGTTGCAGAACTCTTCTAAATACACATAACGATACAAACCGTGAAATTCCATAAAATGACGTGGCGCACAATGTTTTTACTGATGGATAAGGTAAGGTAATTGAACGTCCAGCTAATCAGTAATGTTATAGAATACTGGCGTCTAGTTACAAAAGATTTAGATTGCTTAAGGCTTGTAATGTTAACAAACAATTATACTCTTAAAACAACAACTACTTTAAGAGATAAAGTTTCACTTATGCTTATGTGAGTTGTTCAAAAGATTAAAAGTGTTTAATTTAATATTTTGTTTTACTTTTTATTTATTTATTTTTAATAATCGAAAGGGGGAGCTGAGGTAAAAGAATACCTAGATTGAATCCAGTGATTTTTTTTTTTATTTTGCAACACCTAGAACAGTTGACATATTACTAATTATTCTTTGAAAGCTATACATGTAATGTTGACACAGTAAATTGAAATTCTATTAAGTAATATATACATGTTAAATGTAATGGAAATATACATATGTACAAGCTGAAGTGTACGTGTACAAAGCATAGCATGTACAAATGTACTTGAACAACAAAAGAAATTGAGAAAAAAGGATACTTTGAATATTGCAGCCCTTTCTTTGTAGGCTTATGTTCACAAAACGAGTTATTCTGACCTCCTTTTCAGAGTGACGTATGTTTTCTTTTTTTTAATTACGATATCAATCATTAAACTTTATGGCAAGTCATGTGGTGTTTACTGCACATAGTTTTGAGCTAGACTATTATAACGTTTAAATTGTTACTAATTTCATATTCAGTGTGCATGTTTTACTGTTCTACAGTTTTTCAGAAAACAAACGATGATAATCCGCACAACTTACATCAAAACTGGAAGAAAGCCGCAGATTTAAATCCGGTTTAATCACTTTCCGGCGAGGTTTAGGGGTGAAGTCGTCACTGCAAAGCTTCGTTCTGGAAGTTTCAACTGATGAATAGAAAAATAATATTGTTTTCTAAATAATTCGTTTAACATAATTTCTTTCCTACCCCGTTGATGGTAAAATGACTCTTGTCTGCTAGTTTTAAATTACGTAGCTAACTTGCATAATTAACATTTCCTGAGTGATCAGTTCAAACCTTAATGCAACAGTTAGAATAGCAAAATAAAATTTTAGCATATAATTAATCACGTTTTACACTATTTCTTTAAATACAATAAAACAGTAATTTACTGGAACAATTCGATGTGAGATTTACACTTATAGGTGTGTACATATTTTATTAATACAGATGTATAGTGTTCAGGAGTAATAACGTTAAAGTTTTTATAGCTGAAATGGGTTTAAACGTTTCTTTGACTTGCTTTTATAAGTTATATAAAAATGAATTCAGTATATACAAAACACGAATATTTAATTTCTTACTTAAACTAAACCGTTGGACTAAGTCAAAGTGGAAGGTATCTAAGTATTAATCACAACTATCATAAAATTAATTAATTTTTTTTTGTCTTTAGACACAAATCATTGCCCCCCCCCCCCCAGTGGCACAGCGGTATGTCTGCGGACTCACAACGCTAGAAACTGGGTTTCGATACCCGTGGTGGGCAGAGCACAGATAGCCCATTGTGTAGCTTTGTGCTTAATTACAAACAAACAAATACGAAACAATGTAAATACAATAAATTATTATTTTTTTTATTCAGAATAACAGTTGTTGAATATAATCGCACTTCATAGAAATAACTCTACAAACTTCGATTTTCTCGGACTAATACGTTTTGAAGCTCAACTTAAAATTTCGTGTATAAACAGAAAATACGTAATTGATTTTCAACTTTATATACACATTGAATATCTTTAAATGATTCGGTGAAAATATAACAGAAAGAAATACCTCACCGTAAGAAAACTCGTCAGAAGTGTGGGCCATACTAAGCACAATTGGGGGTTTCCCTTCCGGTTTGAGCACGCGCTTACAATCATCTAAAGATATGGTGTTTAGGAATGATGTTAAGTACATGATATAGAAGGTTACAGCCCTAACCGCCTAAGGGAAGAATGCATTATACAGCTTCTAAGTTACGCATGTGTAAACCACTTTTCACTTGTACTGCCACGTGAATGTAGGTCAACCGCTCAAACGCGCAACAATAGGGGAGTAAGCTTGATTCAACTCAATCTCTCCACTCAAGATTTTTTGAAATCCTAGAAATGTATATATAAAAAAAAACTGGAAAATAAGTTAGGAATCCTAAAATACGTTTTTATTCCACTAAACTCTATTCAAAATACTTTTACAAGTATTGTCTTTGTTTTACTGCAAGTAAACCCACATAAGTAATTTGTATCATCAAATATGGAAAAGAGGAATTTAAAAAATTGATGAAAAATACAAAACACTATACACACAATAGTTAGTAAAAATCTTAAATACTACAGTCAGCTATTTTCCGTCCTAGTTTCAAGTATGATCATATATGCAGAAAACTTACTTTTACTTTATGTTAAAGAAAACAAAGTTTCTACAAAAATATATTTATTCAGAAAGGATAGAACAACAAACACATTATTCTCCAAGGAATTACACAGTACCATACACAAAATGGTAATTAAGTTGCAAATAGTGTAATCGTTAATTTCTAAAACTAATTTCAAAGTCTTCCGGTGATTCAGCGGTAAGTTTGATAAAATATAACGCAAAAATTTGGTTTCGATACCCGCGTTGGACAAAGCACAGATAGCCCGTTGTGTAGTTTTGCGCTTAACAATAAACAAACTAACTGCATTAAAACAAAGTTTCTATAAACACATGTTTATTCGTAAGGATATTAAGATTCTCCAATGGATTACAAATCAAACAATAAAAAATATCAACATTTTTTTTATTTAAGTTCCATTAACGATGGGACGTCGTGCACCCAATGGCAGTGGCGTTCGCTTTTACATGTTTGCACCTTTTCGTCATATGAGCATCCAGCTCAACAGCACGTGCTGGTACTTTTTCTTCTTTTCAATGGATAACAACAGTGGGCAGTTCCTTTACAAGCCGTGTTAACTGATAATTTAAATTTAGTAGTTAAATTATACTTTGGATTTAGTATTTAAATATATGCCAATACACAACCGTTTTCGTTTTTAACACAAATACGTTTTAATATACACACAACAGTACAATTTACAATAACAATTATTACAAAATAGTTACTGTAAACAATGATTCATAAACAAAAGTTTCATAAACTTACAAACAATATAGTTTTTTCTAGTCTGGAACTTCCTTGATATCTCATCGAGGGTTCACGAT